TATTTTTAACGGAGGAGAATTCAAAATTAATAGAGCAGTGACAGAATTATAAAACCAACTCTACAAAATTGGTGTCGTGCTACTAAGAATAAAACTGGGGAATTTCGAAGGAAACCTCTATTTACACAGCGTAAGATTATTGACGAGAACCAGTCTACCTGACGTCAGGTGATGCATCTGAAATGTGGAGATCAGACACTAGACTATACAGTTTTGTTTAGGAAGGAGTTCGTTCCGATGCATCGCCACGTGTACACTAACAAATTAAAGTGCAATATGAGGTCTCGGCGTTCGAAAATTATCACACATTCATGCAAAGCACAACACATGTTCAAAAAATCTTTTAAAAGGTCTGACGGAATTGCGCAGAAATTCATTACATAAAACATTTTGTCATTTTTTGCAGTTTGCTTCTTTTTGTATAAATGTTTATCTTCTGCTTACAAAGGCAAAATGTATGACATTGAAGGCGTGAACGTGAATTGAGAACCTGCATTGTTGGAAATAAAATAAAGTAAACTGATGAAATTAATTAAATGCACAACATGCAGAGAATGTTGCAGCGTTCTTGTAAACAATATATCCATCTGTCTTTCTGGCATGTAATTTGAACAAATGCCAGTGTAATTCCATTTCTTCTTCAATTCAGCGGAAAGCCCATTGCATTCAAGACAGCATCAACATGCCAGCCGAGGTTGGACTTTCAAAATGTATACATGTATTCAAAATGCACATGTATTCAAGATGTATTAAGCATATGGAAACTTTCGCAGCAATTATACCGTACCACACACGGAGTGCTTTAAGTGGCGGTGCCCAAGGCCCGATAGAGTAGGCAGGAACCTTGGTGAGATAGACACAAAATAAGTGATTAGCTCAACACTTAGGGCACGAACTGCTTTCATTTTTTTGTGTCTGCCATTGTTATGGGGCGCACGTGTAAACGTTTTCCGCTGACGTCACTGCGAGTGGCTCGATTAAGTGCGAATAACAGACTTATATTCATACTTATTATGCACGCATGCACAAATGGCCTTAGCGGCAAGAAGTGTGAGCGGGCCATTGAAAACGTACCGTGGTGTGATTTTAATCATTTTCTCTCAGGTTTTCTGGCTTTGTTCAGTTTTTTCTTTAAAAAATCCCCATTAAATCGTTTTTGCTATTAGTTTCTAATCTAAGCAGGTATTTTAGTGCCCTGTAGAAAGATTTTACAATCGTGATTTTTCCTGTGCGCGCGGGATTGCCGTATCTAAGCCGGGCTCCTTTCGTGCTATTTTATGGCAAAATGATTTCATGTGATTTTCTATAAAGGTCTACAAAGTTTAGACGGTCTGAGATTGCTTAAGTAACCCATAAGGCTGGTGCATTCCCGTCAAGAGCGCTGAGAGGAATATTTTTCCGAAAGGCTGAAACTGATCCATGAGAAGTGGGTGACTGGCTTATGGACGAGTCGCTGGGCAGACGTTCCCAGGATGGGCCTGTCCGGTTTTAAAAATATATATATATATACCTCGCATGGCAAGTTCATGTCGAAATGCCAGCGCACCGATTATGTCTGCCTGTCGCTTCCAGCTTGCGCGTGGCTGACTCGCTTTATACTGTCAGGCTGTGCACGCGTAAACACACCAAGTGGCAGGCCCGAACCAGCAACCAGCTGTCATTGTTAAAGCTTTACCTTCAAGGAGTACTCATTTTCTCCCCCAAACGATTTTAACCGTCACACACGATCACGGGATCCGACTCTACCTAATACCATTTTAACTGACGTCGGTCCAGAGACCAGACTGTGTAAGGCTTGTTTGGTTGCCACATTGCCGTGACAGCTGACACCTCTTGTCGGATCAGTGAACCAAACTACATGTAACTCAACGCCTGTGTTTCGTACAGAACAAATACCGGTTTTTCCTCTGACAGGATATGACCGCTACAGCACAGATGGTTTCAAACATCCTTGTTAAATGCGAATAAGGAACTGGAACTTCGATCGTATGATATTTCTATGCATTAATCACCGCTACAACTAACTACCCAAACGTGGGTATGTGTAGAGCCCTTACATTAGCAACGCCATTAATCAGAATGTCTGACTGCATGCAGTGACAGTGACGGGACAAAACCGTTTCAGCGATCGAAACAAAACAGCCAAAAATTTCAATCGGTGAATCCATCAGACAGGGCGGATCCATCATTACCATTCACCAGGAGTAGCTCCAAAAATGTCGAGATGCAAAAGCCCTCATGCAACTTCTCTTTGCAGACATAAATATTTCTTTGTGACAAAAAAAACAAAACGAAACCAAACGCACACATTTTGCGTGAGGCGTATCTGACAAACTCAGCTTAATGCCGTTCGTCGAGCAATTCATTGTGAGAGGAACACAATTAGCTAGCTGGAGGAACATTTCGAGCACACAGATCGAGAAGGCATTTCACCCAGCACTGTCTTCTGAAAATGTCAAAGGTGGCGTACACCGCAGTTTAAAAGTATCCGGCAATATGCCAAAACGTTAATTCGATAATGCCATTATGCCGTGAATCGTCTTATTTTGTCCGCAGTGAGCTCAAGAAGCTGAGGCAGACCTTCTGGCTCCCGTTGGGGTCGGCACCAGACTAAAGACTCGCTTGACTTTACAGGAGACAATGACATATGACTTTTATGACTTGAATACACGTAGGAAAGCTATCTTGCAGTATGTGACTATGAATTTCCCCCTCCTTTGACTCAGTAAAGGGGAAAACTGAGTGATTTTTGTTTTTATGCGGATCCACATTTCCATATTCATGAGCCTAGGCGGGGGTCATCCAAGGAAGACCAGCCGTATCTCCAAAACTGTGTACACTTTTCAACATTTTATTGGAGTACGTTCTACTGTTTACTAGTGTATCTTGTTAAGCAGCCCGTTTGGACACGCGAAATGGCCAATATTCCTTCCAAACTATGTTGAAGGTAATTTTGAGGACAATTTGAAAAAAAAAATTCTTACGCTTTTTCAAGAAGGAGTATATTGTGTGACAAAAGCAAAACAGCGCCCTCTAAAAAGTTTTGGTGAAAAGATTATCCAAGATAGCCTACCACCTTCTCGTCATTACCAATGAAAAGAAGTACTTCAATATTGTTGGTATTGTTGTACAAGACATATTAAGCAACTTACTCAAGCTACTTGCAATGTGTATGACAAACAAACAAACAAACAAACAAACAAACAAACACCCCCAACAACCCAACAAAAACAAAAAAAACCCAAAACAAGCTGAGCTAGGTTTTCACTGTATGTTTCTTTTAATGCTTGTCTGTTGTTCTCAGCTCAGCTGCTGCGTCAAATTTTAATTAGGGTTACATGCTGAAATAAAAGTCAAGACAGCACAAAGAGTTTTAATTGAAACCAACACCGTGCCAACCACGATCCTGCCGTGCAGGGCCTACCAAGAGAACGGCCTAATCCACCAGGTGAAAAAAAGGCGGGCACTGGTGGCTGGTAGGCCGTGGAAACTGGAAACATGCTCAAGAGACAGCGTTGCGTGACCAATTGGACTTTTCCATTTTCATTTCCTCACAATATTAATGTCGTGAGATATAATTGCAAGGTGGGGACGAGGGAGCTTGATGAGAAAAAAAGGAGAGGGAAGCTGGATTTCGTTTCTGTAAGGGATAAATAAAATTACGAGGAAGACAAAGATGACAGGTGGAATTCCTGCAGGAGCTAAGACAGAAGTATTGCATTGCAGAAACCGTGCACCAGAGACTGGTGGCAGAAACCGGTCCTATCTTGATGACAATGACAATTTGCGCAGTAATTTACGCTTTGAAGAACATGTTTCGTGCTCAGCGAATACGAGCAAGTGTATATAAATATATTCGACCTCGTCCTCAATGCAGTCAAGTTTAGCTTCCATTGGGTGCATTTTGTTTGACCGGTAATCAGGACTCAACACGCACCTGCGCAATACACATGTGCACTTTACTGTGCTTGCGTTTGGCCCTTTGGTATACCTGCGATGCTTTTAGTTCACTTCACAATGATTTGCGAAAGGGATAAGCTCTCACCAAAGCCCATAGGATAGCGCGTGCCAGTGACTACCAGTTTAAGCGCGTAATGCCTCACTTCAAACAGGGATTAGAGCATTGCCAAGCCGATGCTTTAGTTCAACGGCACAAAGTTGCAATGAAAAACAAACAAACAAAAAACCAGTGCGCGTGGACTTTTCTGGAGTCAAGAAGCTTTTCCGGCGTGACGCACTAACGACAGTCCTCAAGTGAGCAAACGTGGCATTCCAACATCTCTGGGAGTAATTTGTGGCTTTGTTTTTAACCTTTCGATTCAACAAGCACGGAGCAATTAGGCTGGACTTGCCTTGCCTAGCCTTCCCCCGGCCATCGCCAGCCCCCAGACATCGGCACGCGGCGTACTTCCGTATAACTAATCGGTTCCTATGCATCACACGCTCTGGCCATTACAACCATTAATCATGCCAAAACGATCGTGAGGCCACACAAGCGTGCACGCACACACTCACAAAAAAATAACAGATTTGAAATTCATGGAATCATTTCTGGAAAATATTAATAGAAAAGAAACTGTGTAAATGGCGCGTTGATTAGGGCGACTCGATCGGCGGCGGATCGCCGTACATTATGCATGTCCGTGTTGGATCCATGACGCGTGCTGCGGGCGATCACGGTCCGCACGGAGACGAAGTACAAACTGCAACGCGCGCATTGCTGCAACCAGCTGATTTTATTTCTAATTAATAATGAGAGGCTGAAATAACTCGGCATTTGCATCAATTTTGGGGAAGAACAATATTTAACCCTGGTCAATTAAAGTCAGCACTATATTTTTTCAAGTCTTGTACACTGTTAATATAAAATGAAATAACACTGGATCATTTCCAAGCATATGCCCCATTACACGCATTTTGCATAGATTCGTGTATATACCAATTCAATTTTTGTAAGACGTGGTACCACACTTAATAAATAATCAACTCAACAAACAAACCTTGAAGTAGGAAGTCATATTTCAGGTGGAATTCCGGCAGTGTTCCGGTCTTGCTTCTCCAGATGAGATTTCAAAGTGAGCTCCTTGGCCTCGGAACTGGTTTCTAGTCACCACAAAATGCCGGGATACCTGGTTACTGTTTATGGTTTATTCCATTTTGGGTCGACCCCTGGCTCCCTCCAGCTCAAGATGTTCTTCGCACCATCGATGAAGGGGGACAAATCTGCCAGACGACTTTAATAGAGGAGCCGTAAAATTACCCCGGGACTCATTTTTTTTTCTTAAAAGCCCTACAAACATCACCGCAATCGGGAGTCTTGTTTACCACGACAGGTTGTCACATGGTGCGGGTAGCTGCCTTGGATCGACCAGGCCCTTCCCGCGCCGTCCAATCGCTCTCCTTGACCGCTGGTCTCTAGGTGTGTGCATCAACGGCCGTGGAAATGCTGCCCCTGCGTTCAGCTGGCCCTAGCTAGCATCTGTGGTATAAGCTCCTCCAACCAGAGGATCTCCCCAGACGCTGGGAGGGTGTCATGCCCTGGCCCAGGCGCTCCTAACCGCTTTGTGTAGCCCTCCCGCCAGCGGGTCTCCAGCTCTCAATCACGGCACAGGGTGCCTGGTGCTGCTGGACCCTAAGCCTCCCATATGCTGCTAAGCAAACAGCATCAACGAGGCAGCGGGGGAAGGTTGCGGAGGCGGCGGGTGTAGCATATGGAGAGGCAGGCCTGTGCTGGACAGGTCTGGAGATACGCGGTTATAACCACGCGTGCATTATTATTACCGCGCCGGAGTGTAGTGAGCTGCTATGCCACGGCCGAAGGCGCTCATTACGTCCGTCACACAATCAGAATAATATTCGTCGGCCAACGAACGTGCCCGCGTATACACGGTACGGGTACGAACACGACAGAACAGAGCGTTTGGTGCTTAAGTGCAACAGCGCCATCATGCGTGATCATTGAACTTTGTGAATTTTATTCATAGAGGTTAAAAAATTGAGCGAATTCACACGAGGCCTCCAAAAATCGAGCACACAGCTTTTTAAAGGTAATCTTGACGCCGTTCAAGATATCTTTCAGGATCAATAACCTTACACTTTTGCACATTTAGTCCAAACAATAAAACAGTGTCTACAAAAAACAGTACCTTCAAATTCATGCTTGTTTTACATTCGAGAACATTATCTGTCCAACTGTAAACTGAATTTGATAACGTAGGTCCTCTAAGAATCATTCAGCTTCATATCCATAAATACAGACGAAGGCAGTTAGGCCGGTGATTTATTTTTAGGCAGTTAATTTTCTGTTCCTCGTTGCCGTATCTCAGCCATAGAGGGCGCTGTGTTTCACTTCTGGGGGTCCAGACCAATAAATAGGTTGCCTTAGACAATAAATATCCCCACTTCAAAAAATCTGGGAAAATACTCACAAGTTTCACAGGTGTTCAATACACATATCAAGTTAAAGCTCACTTTCTAATCTTTCATTTCCCTTTCAAGTTTCAGTGGCTAAACCCATGATTTTGAAGATATTTCTCTCCAGAGAAAATCGCCCCTCAAAACAGTCAGGAGGCCCATCGCCATTTTGGAAATTGATGCCTACATGCACTCCATGGCAAAATAGAGCATTTTGGAGGGTCACCGTTTGGTCTAATACTTCCAGAAATACAAGCTGACAGTCCTAGGCCTGCCCCTGGATTTCATCCACCTTTTAAACAAACCACATGGTCCACGTGCCATGGAAGGCTCCAATAGCAGAGAATTTGACAGCCTACAAATCGCGATTCGGTCCGCGCAGGCAATTTTGAACCTATTTACTGGCCTGCAACCCTAGGCAATGCAGCGTGAATTTATTCGAATTTAATTTTCACAGTAATTACATCTGAAAAATATGCAACAATGGAAACGTTGCGACCATAAAATTGCCGGATATCCGCCCACCGTACACATACCCAAGGAGTACGAAGTCGGCATATACAACAACTGAAAAGGAAAGATAAGCCGAAATATTGTGAATATTGATTAAAATGTGCCTACTGGCTAAGAAGGGATCATCTTCAATGGGGCAACATCTTCGGGCTCAAGCCCTTGACGGCTGTTTTCTGACAACAGAAAGTGATGAGAGTTTTTGGCCGTGATTAAAAAAGCGGCACCTCCAAAAAAGAAAAAAAAATCCATCTCCCCAACCTCATCAACTACACCGAAGAGGATATTGTTTATTATTTAAGAGGGACTGTATTTCAAGTCGGTTAGTGGCTCCGTTAATTTTCTGAATGTCGTTGGAGGTCGGGTTCAGTCATGCCAGCTGGTGGGTGGGTCACACTCCATCCAGCAGAGGGATTTCAAGATCGTTGGGTGATTTCTTTTTTCCGATTCGTGTATTTGTAGACTTAGTGGCTAAGATCTATGACCACGTGGCACTCGGTCTGAATCTGTGCTATACAACAATCGACAGCATTTAACAATACCACGGCGTTTAGCAGTATCTCGTGGATTTGAGAAAAATTCTTGATTGCTTGGCCGTTTTCCAATACTCAACTTCGTCTCCGTCTCAGGCTTCGTTCCAAAAACCAATCCCCGATTGTGGGCCTGAAGCGTTTGAATTACATTGGATTACTGTAATTTTTGGCTTTCTTGCGTCTTATTTGATGTTCTGTGGCACTATTAGACTGATTTACTGCGCTTACAGCTTCAAAGTCAGCTAGTAAAATACAGTTGAAGCCTGAGACGGAGCCGAAGAAGGGCACATGCATGCTGTCATTTTTGTCGATCAAAAATAGAGTTTGGACAGGGTTACATCACGGGTCCACATTTGCGCATGCGTGGACTAGGACAGCAAGTAACCCACAATGCTTTGCGCGTCAGCAGCTGTAACACATTTTTTTCAGAAAATTTGTGAAGGGTATTTGCCCATTCTAGTTGTATTATTTATTATGTTATTTCTGCTAATGACACCAAGCATTCCTCAAAAGTGCCGTAGGCACTGTACCTCGCAAGTCTGAAGAAACCTGTAGAGAGGAGACAACGAGAAGCAGTTACAGTTTTAGAGGTGGGAGGAAAACCCCAGAGGAATATTCTAGGTAAAACCCACGGAATCAGGTAGGGACTGAAAACCCAATCCACGTGTAGACTCAGCTGGGATTCGAACCTGGATCGAAGAGGTGGAAGGTGACCAAAGAACCACTACGCTAATCTGACTCAACAGATTTCCATGCAGCGCCCTCAAAGGGCAGTGAGAACCAACGAGGTTGCTCGAATGAATTCTAACAGTTAGAATGAACCTACAGGGCGCAAAAAGGTCCTAGCATCTCCGCAGCATGAGAATTCTTTCATTAAATGCTCTTGGTATTTTTAATGAAGTCAAGCCATTTCTCGACCAACGACTTTCCATGTAAACTGAAACCATCCTACGATTTTGTGCCGTTTTAAAATAGCACAAATATATTTATACAACCAACCCTCTGAAATATATTTATCTACCAACCCTCTGACGTCATGTTATTCCGTCTGATCTTACCGCCCCCGGTACGCAGCGTGTCTGAGGTTGATCGGTCCGTGACCTACATCCAGCCACGCGACTTGTACACTGTTACCACGATCGCCTGTCGCGCAGGCTTAAAATAGTTTTCCCAAATTTGCCGCCGCGGTCTTCGCTGATGGCGTGGCTGGCACTACATCTCATCACGGACGGAGCATTACCCCATGGAGGACAGCTGTGAATCAGGCCATGCCGCTCGATGAATGGAAGTGGAAGCTGGATAATCCGAATGGAGCCGAACTCAAGTCCTCGTGAAACCATTTGCAGTCTCTCAGACCACTCAAGAAATTGTCTTCTGTTTTTCGCGTCTTTTGTCTTTCCAGCAGTTTTACTTCCACGTCGAAAAGGCAGCATAATGGGATTAAAGACGTCCACGGAGATTATAGGACCTCATACCACGGAAGATGCTGTGTGTGTGTATGGCCAATGCCATGATCCCGAAACGCGAATATTTACTGTCCGGCCATGCCAATATGAAAATCTAATGAATTGAAATTTCTAAATGGCCTGGATGGCTGAAGGCGCTTTTGAGACTTCGGAAAAAACCTGTCCTTGACATTTCCTCTGAGTTTTATTGAACTGATTGAAATTTTCTCATTTCCACCGATGGTTTCACTGATGAAATTTGGACTAGATAGCAGGTGGACGTCGAGTTTATGGTCTTACATCATTTGGTAACCCCTGTGTTCATTCGTAGATATCCCAAAGTGAACAACGAAAAAAAAACCTTTCGTGAGCACAGAAGTATCAAATACTTGAGAAAACATTCCGTCCAGAAATTTCACTCGGAGAAAAACAGAACTGCATGCAGTTCTGTTTTTTTTCTGTTTTTGTTTTCTTTTTGTTTTCAAAACAAAACGAAAACAAAACAAACCGAAAACAAAACCAAACAAAACAAAATGACCACAAAAATACACCACGAATTTCGTGATGCACGTTTCAAGGTTTCTCAAAAAGTACAGTTCCATCTAAGCCGAGTAGTTATCATTTCTATCAAATCTGTGCGAATTAATCTTCAGGGACTTTCAATATTTGAATCTGAACATTAACTCGGCTTCTGAAAAAAAAGACAATATAAAAAGCAAGCTTCAGTGAAGCGACTGCCACGTGGTTCCTTCTTACTATAGTCCAGGCTCGTTTTCAATGGCTGTCACGTATTTTTCCCCCGAGAGGCATGTTTGTGTCTCAGACACTGACGAGGGGCACAGAGCATATTCGTTAAATATCAATTTTTATTAAGTGCGGGCTTTTTACCAAGATGAAACGATTCATCAAATGTGGGCAGTGATCTGGGAGGTTTCGTGTTATTTTAATGTTTTTAACCCATTATCAAAATATGTATGGAGAGGCAATAATAATTCCATCCTGCACTATTGAAGGGCGAATATAATTCAATTATTTTACAACGCTTGCACGTTTGTGTCTCAGTTAATCTCATTTTCAAATTTTCGTTTTGCCACTGTCATAGGTATATTCGCCCCTTCTTATTTTAAGAGCAAATTCCACATTCACGGAACTGTGTGGTACTGTGATGCCATCCCAGGGAAAATTCTTGCATGATTTTCACACAAAAACAACTGGTGGAATTTTTGATATTTTGCTCTCGTAATGTTTTTTTCTCTTGAATTATGTGTTCACTGTTGTGTAAGTGCGGCTACCCTTTCTGGGAAACGTCGTCAGTGAGCAAATATTGGGTTCACAATCTGACCAATCTAAGATTGCCCCGAAGAGCTTTTACAATATCAAATGTTGAGGGAAATGTGCACCTTTCGGTACGCTTACAATCCCAAAAGGATTTCAAATAGTTTTCATACGCTGATGACGAGTATTTAGAGGCACAAAAAAGAGAGTGTCTAACCCCCTCCCCCAAATCATTGCACGGACCCTTTAAAAATGCCGCAATTACATTTCTAAACAGCTCATGTCATTACGAGCTGGTAGGATGGGTACCGTGTGTCCAATCATTTATCGATACTAACTCTGCTGGAGGCAACATCTGAAGAAACCAGACGGGCGTGATTTTCATGAATGTGAAATGCAAAGGGCGATCGTACCATGAACGTAATCGTCATTGGGATCTATTATTCGGAAACCAGAACAATCGACTGTTTGCTTGCCGCTCGATCGATTAGAGACACATGTCACTTGGAATTGCTAAAAAAAAAACTATATTGGCGGGTGGCATTTGAATATCGTGATCAAAATTCTAAAGGAGGACACTGGTTTTACAATGAAAAATCTTCAAATGTCATAGCAAGGGACGTTGACATATATAAATACATGAATCATGCAGCTGTTTATTAACTTTTATACTTGTTTTAAGCTGCACACACACGCAGGAGTACTTTCACAAGAACGACAACTTTGAACCATAAGCGAGCACAGTAAATGGCATTTTACAGACCATCATCACCAGCATCTTATTCAATACGTAACAAAAATAGCTGTCATGTCCTGGCTGAAACGCCAACCCCCCCCCCCCCCATTGCGACGCGGTAATGCCGAATCATCTATCTTCTCCCACGTGTCGCGCAGTGCTACGGCTTAGACTGGATGATGCATTGGCGGCGGCAAACTGTCAAAGCGTCGACTGTTGCCGGGGGGTATAAGCCGTTAATGTTTATTGCCTCACAATTCAAACTGCATCTAAAACTACCTACAGTATAATAGCTGCCATTTCAGCTTTAAACACCCGCTGGCTGCTTTTGTTGAGAGATTACCATACCTCCCGTTTCTGTCTGCCTAAACTGTGACCCTCCGTTCTTCAAAATGGTATCGCCCGTTTGACATTGCCATCGCGTGCACTGCTATCGCGCGCAGTGCTACATGCAATTGTACGCCGAGCGATCTGAAATAACACTTACGTCTGTTACTCTTTCAACTAATTTCTTTACAACAGTTTAGAACACTAATGGCTGACTGTGCTTTCCATGCAAAAATAACGGTTCAAGAAGAGGTGGATGAAGTAATATTTGAAATACATAAATACCGGGAATTCTTAATCCCGTAATAGCTCTCTCTACTCCGAGGTCGTCTGGTGGTGATGCAGCCGTGGTCTAGTGCACGTGTGACGTGACGTGGGTATCCGAGTGAGTCGTCATTACGAACGCACATGCATGCACATTGTACAGAATATGTGCTAAGTGCAATCAAAGTGCGCAGACACGTAACCGATGTCCCTCCTCCCGTACTATTATAGGCCGCGATGTTTATGTCGGATGCCGAAAGTGTGCTGGGGTCGATGCGAACCTTTTTGGAAAAACAGTGCGTAATAATCCATCGCTTTTGCTATGAAGTCTCAAGATCGCGGCAGCAGCGGAGTGGTCAGGTTGTCTCCGTTGGGTGCATGCTCGGACTACACAGCGGTGCTGAAGCAGACGGGGAGTGCATCCGGTAGCAGATGGATCCTACCCACGCCAACACCATGAAGCAGGAGGAACAGAGTCTTCCCCGCCAGGCCCGGGACACTCCCGAAGCCTCCCCAGCCGAGGACGCCTTGTCCTGCCCGGGCAATTTCATCGCCATCCGGTTGCTGAGCCGCGGGACGTTCAGCAAAGTGGAGCTGGTCGTTGAGAAGACGACAGGGAAGCGCGTGGTGCTCAAGTACCACAACAAACTGCGGATTCGGATGGCCGAGTACCTCAGGGAGTTTCAGACCAGCTGCCGACTGATCCACCCGGCGATCCTGGTCACCTACGACCAGCCCATCGAGACCGACAAGGCTTTCATCATCGTGCAGGAGTACGCAGCGCAGGGGGACCTCCTTGAAGCCATAACGCCCCAGCAAGGACTGGACGAGGAGAGGGCTAAATCATGCCTCAGCCAGACTGCCTCGGCACTGACATTCATGCACAAAAGGCTGCTCGTACACGGCAATGTGAAACCAGAGAACATCCTCGTCTTCGACACCAACATGACCATCGTCAAGTTGTCCAATTTTAGGGACACGCAGCGAAGAGGTGACACAATGACCAAGCGGGCGCCCACCTCGCCCTACACGGCTCCGGAGATTTCCTCCACGGTCGTCAACGAAGGGTACACAACTGACTACAGCCAAGACATCTGGGCTTTCGGCGTTGTCGCCTTCTGTGTCCTGACCGGGGTCTTCCCCTGGGGGACGGCTACGACGGAGGACACCTCATTCCGCAATTTCACCCAGTGGCAAAAGCGGAGGGCGAACCTCGCCCCACTTGAGTGGCGGAAACTCTCGTCCAAGATACAGAAGTTCCTTAAAAAGATCCTGGACCCGATCGCGGAGCGGCGGTGCCCCGTCGACGAGATCAACAAGTACCTGCGCGAACAGTGGCTCAAGGCCCAGCCGGACCAGGCCAACCCAAAGGAGGGCGACGGCAGCGGGGATGAAAGCCCCCGTGCCGGTGACGTGACGGCCATGAAGGAACTCCGGCTGATGCTGGAGAGCCACGGCGTAGTGACTTGCTCGGACAGTTCGCTGAAGAGACAGCGGATTGACGAGTGGGTACAAGCGGCGTGCCAACAGCCGGCAGACGCCAGTAAGACACAAAGTGCGTCCGCGTGGTGAACGAACTCACCGACGAAGGGCCGAAGAAGACCAAAAAACGCGTGAATCTAGGCTACTCCACACGATGCCTCTTCTGCTGCTCTGTCTCAGGTGTGTTTACTACGCCATCCTAGGGTGTAGATGAGATTCTCATTAGACGTTTGGAATGCAAGAATCCTTTATTATGGGCGCAATAGCTCCAGAAAAAGGGGAGCAAAACTCAGTGTCATCCCGTTGGTGAGTCACTCACATTTTTTGACGGTGACACAGTGACAACATGACATTTTCCTTTCTGGTACGGTGAGTCGAACTTGTTCCAAAATGGATCTTTCGCACTCTAGGGCTGATTAAATGTTTTGGTCGAGGACATGGGGTTATATCTGATATTGCAATAATCATTTTTTTTCTTCAAAACATTACTCTTACCATTAATGTTCAAGTGAGACTGGAATCCCCAGCCCTATTATACATGTCATTAAAAAAGCTTGCCTTTTGTAAAAAGGTACGGTTGTAAATTTGCAAGCATGATAATATTGTAAAGCTTGATGGCATTTATTATGTGAAAAGTTTGGAATCACGCATGTCTCGAAAAGCATTAAAGAAATATGAAAAAATAGATAAATCATGAAAGCGCAAATAGACAAAAGGCCTGAGTAAATCAGTACTGTTTTAGATTCAGTTTCGGTAAAATACAAACGTTCATAGACCTTTTCAGGTTACCACTGGACCAAAAATGTGAAACGTAGTAGGTACAGGCTGAAATGCATTGTGGGACTGTCTGCACTGCACAAAACCCCGTCCGTTTGTGCGAACTATACCAAAATGCTGCGCAGCGCAGGCTCTTCAATGTTCAACCGATGTATCTTTAAAAAAAATATGCGTTTGCCACCAAAAATCATGTCACCCACGTCAAATATTCCTAAAAAGGGAATTGTTATAACTATAGACCATACATCAGATCTGACCAATGATCTTATATCAGCCGTCTCTACTTTTTCAACGCAGAGTAATGGAATATTGCCCTGAATCAGAAAACTATGGAACACTCTTTAAAATATTATGTATAGAACATTGCTCTCAGGTGAAAAAAATCATTTTAACGGAGAGGATGGCTAGTAAAAAACAGCCGTCACACTCGGTGTTTGTTCTGTATATCTCGCTTTACAGCTTGAACTCGCTCGGTGCGCAAGCAAAAGCCAATCTCGACAGTACATTTCCTTCGCGAGGGATCAATCAGCGAAATGCACGTGAACCGCCGCACGGTGTGTCACGAAGACACGTCGCGTGTCTTTCCATTACTCTGCAGAGGACCCGAACGCTGGCATGATAAATAATTCCGCCCTTCATCGATCGACAAGAGTTGAGAGGTTTTATGTTTTTTTTTTTTTGGCCATCGAGAGAAATTAGGATCATTTTAAGCTGAAGGGCTGTTGGAATGGTATTTTTTTTCTCAGACGGAAGAAAAGTATGGCCTCGGCATTTTTCTTCACTTGGTGAATACTGACGTTGATTAGGACAGGCTGTATTTGCCTAAAATCACCCCACCCCTCCGAAAAGAAATAAGAAACAAGAACAAATCAAGTGTTAACGGGCAGGTCAGCCTAACCAAGGGTTGAACTACACGTTCAATGATTATCTGGTAAGATGTGCATTCAAGTCGGCTGAAACTTCGAAGAGGAATGATTAGGGCGCAGAAAGAAATCCAGCTCATTATAAGAAATACGTATCGGGTTTTTTTTTGTTCTGGTTGTCATAACTTTCTTCCCTTCTCTCGGGCTATTAGGTTTGGACACTCAGTGCATAATAATTCCATGCGAATTGGATTAAACTTGGGCTTCTGGAGTTCACCGATTGGTTTGGCTTTAAACAACCGCTTGATTATTGCGTAATGGTTTCTGGAAAGAGGGCGATCAAAATGCAGGTTCCTCCCATCATTTTGTCGATTAGACTGGAATACGCTGAGACGCCCTTTCCGCAATTTCATTTCCATGGTAACTTGGATGAGAGAGGCGTTAACGGTTCTAGAACAGACCACTGTAGGGCCTATGGGCGGCCTAAGATGCAAAAAACATATTTTGGTGGTTTTATGATTTTACCTCAAATTCGTTCAAACTATACATCTTGCCCATTTTCATTTAGTATTTAGTAGTGCGTGATTATTTGATATTGTGATAGCTGCATGAGGTTAACACACTTATAGTGAATTACTCTGTTACTTTTGTACTGACGGCCAGCCGTAGTTTTAGCAGCTGCTTTTTGGAAAAACCCAAATGTGGTGTACAAAGAGCAGTCCCTATAACTAAGATGGCAAAGCTAACTGGTACATGAACGGAGATGCTACGGCGGCTTGAAAGGTGGCAGAACCGAACAGAATAGAACCCTCCTGCTGATCTCCTAACAGCGGACAGAGTACATACTGTCCGAAACGTTGAGTACCCTCTGGTTCTTTTGAGAACCACACATACTCAAAAAGAGATATCCTTGCATGGTGCTGCCGTAAGCCCATTGATGCCTAACATGCCACCTTCACTCAAAAAGAGATATCCTTGCATGGTGCTACCGTAAGCCTCTTCATACCTAACTTGCCACCTTCACCATGAAAAGCTTCAAAGCCCATCGTAGGCCTATGTATACCACAAACACTATCGGCAAAATTGAAGAATTGTAAGAATTCAAGTTTTAGCAATTTTAGTTGCAACTACAAGACAACAAATTCTGACTGTTAACAAAACACCAATATTTTAGGAAGAACATTCACAATTTAAAATAAATTATCATTTGTGGTTAGACAAGTACCCACCCGAGTAAAACAAAGAAACCAAACACAAAATGTCATGCAGTGAAATTGTGTATACTCTGCTGTCACACGGGTAACTTCTAGGTCGTGTCTTTTGACCCAATTCTCTCACCCACTTCAGCCAGCTTGTTCGAGGCAAGGCATCTGGCAAATTCTGGGCATGCACTGTCCGCTGTTACAAGTGGCCTCGAGCATCGTGCCAAGCAAGCAGCGGGTGCATAATGTCGCGTTACGCAGCGCACGCACCTCCTACGCGGCGCGTTGGAGCGGCCGGCACATGGCCGTGTACACCCAGCATTTGTTTTTTTTTTTTCGTTCCAACTGTGGGAGGTAAATCACCGAGGTTAATTGGATTTCGAAGAAAGAGATTGCTCGCTGCACTGTAGAAGAAAAACATGATCAAAAATAGTAAGTAAGACTTAAAGTTTGCACGGTGGTGGTACACATACGGCTAGGCAATGGCGTAATGGCGGCAAGTAGCCCCCCCCCCCGCGGAGGTCTGTGCACCCCGGCTAATTTCACTCTTTCACCACTGCCGGTAGGGTGTGGGCTAAGCATGTAGCAAAAATCTCATTTGGGAGTGGTTTGGGTTAAGCCCGTTTTATACTTCACGCGGAAGCGAACGCAAAGCGAATTTCGTGACATCAACAATTTGAAGTTCCATTGTGACGTTGCCGTTTCCCTGACACATTCGCTTCGCATTTGCTTTCGAATTTCACCTGAAATATGCACCGGCCTGTACGCTGTATCTGAAAAGTTGGAGTCCGTTGTAAAGATTTGAAAAGAATAAACGGGACAAAAGCTTTTCTTTTGCCATTCTGAAGCGATGAAATAAAGACCATGTACTGTATTTGTTCTTGGATACGCCTTAGGCTGAACACACAAGCTAAACTGTACTTGGAGAAAATGCTAAGGCTCTGTTTTGACCATGATTCACAAATATCTGGTCGCAGCTGCTTTTGTTTGATTAACTACTTTGATTCAACTGAAGGACGCGAACAGAAGTCTTCACGACCATCATACATGTGGTACAATCATTCTGGCTTCTAGGCCTATTTAACGACAGGGAAGAATGTGCCAATACCAAAGGGCATATGTTTCACAGGGGTAATGCAAGTGTGAAGATTTGCAAAGAACACGCAAGAAGAAAAAAAACACGTGGAAAGCCAAAATATCACAAAATGCACATTACTGATTTCATAGCAAATAAATATTGCTTGGCACACACTGCAGAAAATATTGCTCGAGCGGTTACCTGTCAAATAAGTGTTTTACAATACCCATGTCTGGTAATATTAATTCCATAGGCAACATATTCTTCTTATAGCGGCTCTACGAAATGATCGAGATCGAAATACCCTGTCACCGGTGTTGTAGTCGAGTGCTTTTTTCTGAGTACAGAGTAGTGCCCAGTAATTAAATTTCTGAGTACCTGAAAGTCTGAGTACTTTACCATCTGAGCACAAAACTGATTTTCAAGTACAAGTGCTTATGCCTCCGAGTACGAGTATGAATATTTGTACCTCCGAGTATTAGTATGAGTACTTGTACCTCCGAATACGGGTACTTGTACCTCCGAGTATGAATACTTTACCTCCGAGTATGAGCAGGCGTACCTGTACCTCCGAGTACGAGTAGGAGTACCTCCAAGTAGGAGTACTTGTACCTCCAAGTACGAGTACCTCCGACCTACGAGTATTTGTACCTCTGAGGATAAGTATGAGTACTTGTTCCTCCGGCTATAAGTACCCGGAAGTACGGGTACTTGTACCTCCGAGTATGAGTAGGAAAACTTGTACCTCCGAGTATGATTAGTACTTGTACCTCCGAGTATGATTAGTACTTGTACCTCCGAGTATGATTAGTACTTGTACCTCCGAGTATGAGTAGTTGTACCTCCTAATAATTAGTAGGAGTACTTGAACCTCCGAGTAGGAGTACCTGTACCTCCGAGTAGGAGTAGTCCTTGTACCTCCGAGTATGAGTATTTGTACGTCCGAGTATAAGTATGAGTACTTGTACCTCCGACTATAAGTATGAGTACTTGAACCCCCAAGTACAGGTACTTGTACCTCCGAGTGTGAGTTCTTGTACCTCCGATTAGGAGTACTTGTACCTCCGAGTATGAGTAGGAGTACGAGTACCTCCGAGTATGAGTATGAGTACCTCCGAGTAGGAGTACGGGTACCTCCAAGTATGAGTACGAAAAACTTGCACCTCCGAGTATGAGTACGAGTACCTCCGAGTATGAGTACGAGTACCTCCGAGTAGGAGCACTTGTACCTCCGAGGAGTACTTGTACTTCCGAGTATGAGTACGAGTACCTGTACCGTACCTCTGAGTAGGAGTACGAGTACTTGTACCTCCGAGTAGGAGTACGAGTACCTCCGAGTAGGAGTACTTGTACCTCCAAGTACGAGTACCTCCGAGTACGAGTACTTGTACCTCCGAGTAGGAGTACTTGTAACTCCGAGCATGAGTATGATTACTTTTAATTACGAGTACAAGTACAAAATTGGTAATATGCCAAAGATCTATGATTAGTACTTGTACCTCCGAGTATGATTAGTACTTGTACCTCCGAGTATGATTAGTACTTGTACCTCCGAGTATGAGTAGTTGTACCTCCTAATAATTAGTAGGAGTACTTGAACCTCCGAGTAGGAGTACCTGTACCTCCGAGGAGTACTTGTACTTCCGAGTAGGAGTACGAGTACCTCCGAGTATGAGTACGAGTACCTCCGAGTAGGAGTATGAGTACCTCCAAGTATGAGTACGAGTACTTGTACCTCCGAGGAGTACTTGTACTTCCGAGTATGAGTACAAGTACCTCTGAGTAGGAGCACTTGTACCTCCGAGGAGTACTTGTACTTCCGAGTATGAGTACGAGTACTTGTACCGTACCTCTGAGTGTGAGTACGAGTACTTGTACCTCCGAGTAGGAGTACTTGTAACTCCGAGCATGAGTATGATTACTTTTAATTACGAGTACAAGTACAAAATTGCTAATATGCCAAAAATCTGCTCAAAAAGAAAGGGTTACCAAACAAAAAACATGTAAATAACATTCCGAAACAATATACATTACAAAATTACATTACAAGTTTTCCTATATTCTAGATTCTGTGTCAGGTCCGGGAACCAGACTAGCTACAACTAAATTGAGTGTTACTAGTCTTGGTTTCAAGACACCTTTCGCGTTCCTGCGATCCGTTGTGGCGTGCAGTGTGCTGTGTATGTACAGTACTCTCGTACTTTACAGGGCGACGGTGCCCCTCCGGCTGCTACGTCTGGTGATGGTTCGTGTCGTTGAATAAACAGGAAGGTCTTGGAACCACGACTAGGAATACTCCGGGGTTTCGCGAGGATCCCACAAGTATGCCAAGAAAATGGAAGAAAAAATGTCGTCGTATGATTTCACAGGACAGCCTTGGGGTGGCTCGTCGCGCGTCCGGTATACCAGGTGTCATAGAACGACGAACGCATCGTCATAGTGGATTTTGGTCCTTCTGCAGAGAACCAGTCCAGGCTATTCACATGACGTATTTTGGTTGGTAACCTCTTCTGCAAAGCAAAGCAAAGGTTTCTGCGCTTAGAAAATCTACCCGTATGCCTTTGTGCTTCACGATAATGCCGGTGAAGGAGGTCAGCGTCTCGCTGGCACGGCGATGCCGAGTTCAATTACTCGCTTTCTGTCAATTTCATGAGACCACGAATTATAAATAATGTGTTTAGCAATATGCACAATCTGTGGAAATAGGGAGACACTGGAGGTGTTTGTCATGAGCATGTGACGGAATACAGTGTCATGTGAGTTGGTGATACGTCCGATTCAGATATCAGTCTTGAGACCAGGGGTGAGATTGGAGGAAAATGAAATACCCGCGACATAATCACCAGAGGTTTAAGAGGGCCTAACAGCAACATAAAGTCTGTGGTATAAATGAATCTCTGTTTGCCTGCATGTATCAGCACCCCTTAAAATACCAATTTCTTGTGCTAAACACCAATTTTTAATCGTAAAAATGCCTTAATCACAGGATTTGCCAGATTTTAAATAAAGAGAATATTTGAAAAATTCTGAAATCAAGGAAAATCCTGATGAAAAAATCCTGAGGTCAGGAAAAACCCAGACAAATATCAGCCCTGCGAGACATTCCCTTTAATTAATTAATTTGATTAATGGCAAAATATGTCCACATAATCATAATGTAATTTTGTCCCTCGTTAACAGCAGTACTACATGTATGTATGTGCATTGCATCTACAGTACGTGACATACTTGGCGTTCTCTGGTTATACACGCACTGTAATATTTTAATGGGGGGGCGTACACAGGTAACTGAAAGGCGGACCTTGGCCGGGGAAAGAAAGCCGCGCTGTACAAGACTGACCTTACCGAACTAGCGCAGCCAGGGATGTGGTGTGCAACTGCACTTCTTGAATAAATACACATTCAAAATTGTTCATGGGACAGTTAACATTTTGCAACAACCGATTTGCAACTCCTCGGTTTTCACCGTATTTATTATTTTTAATTAGTTCTATACATTCAGAATTCTATTAATTATACACACGCCCTCTGTATGTTGATAAAATGTCAATTTTGTTTACTCGGTGCCCGTCGCTGAGACAGTGAGCGGAAGACCCATTTAAAGTGATTCGCAGAACGACAAAGATACAGCCAACGCAGAACACTCAAAGTTTGCAAACTACACCAGGATAACACTTTTTGTTGAATGGCCCCAACAAATCAAGCCATAAATTACCACCATAGATTTCCATCTGTTCTGCGGTTTCTGGCTTTAAAATGTTGACCTAAACAGAAATGCACAAAACATCAAATAGGTAAGATACAGTTCTACGAGATCCTCCATCATGGGGCATTGGCATGGGTAAAATATATATTGATTTCGTGTTTACTGCTCAAGTTACTAAGTTCCCGAGACCTTTTCGGCAAAGACCAAAGAACAGGTGCACGGTTCAATAGAATGGTCACTGACACGTGTATATACATGGACATTACAACGACAATACATTGGGAAATGGAGGCCAGGAAAACTACATTTAGCTGCCTAATTCGGGTGATTTTTTTGTGGGGGGGCGTTATGACTCTCATTGGTACAATTAATGCTGGAGGTTCAGTTGATAGTTGATTGTTCAGCTGATTTTGATCAAATTACTATGGACGTTAACGATACGATTATAATTACAATTTTAATTTTTGATCCAACTGTCTCCTGACTGAGGCATGACCAGCTGAGCTCTGCGACGCCAATGCCAGTAATGCGTCTCCATAAATTGAGGTGGCTCCATGATAACATTTTGTACATCGCTCATTCATAATCAACGTTATCAGACGGGAAATATTTCTTTACACCTCGACGGTGGTTACTAAGAAATGCGAGGCTGGGGTTACCGACAACAGATTTCGATGATGAGTTCCACAATTGATTCCATAAGAACGCTGCTCGTCAAACTCGACTTTCTGAATATTGGCACAGTTCTCCCCACTGGCCAATTTGACGCTCCGCCCAGGTCATTCACGCTAATCCACTATTTTTTCATCAACGCAATTTACGTTCGGCATCTCGTTCTTCGCAAAACTGTATATATGTGTACCCAGTACTACAGAACAACTCAAAGTCGAATGCGGATTCTGTGGATGATTTTTTTTTATTATCTGCCAGTGTCATATACACTGGACCTCTGACATTTGGTGATTACCAAACTCAGACTGTCTTCTCTCTTTCTTCGCTTCAATCAGGAGAGTGAGGAATGTCGACATGATGAGTTTACCATACCGACGCCAACAGACGATCAAACGAGCATGCAATTACAGGGGTCAGCTCGTAAGTCCGACGACGCCCCATAATGCCGACGCCTCATAAGTCCGAAAAAAGCATGTAAAAAAGTCCATAAATCCGACGCCTCATAAGACTGAAGCCTCATAAGACCGACGTCTCATGGGTCCGACAAATGCGTTTAAAAGATCGATGGACGTTTGATTTGACGTTCGTTACGAGCGTATAAAGACGGCGCTAGGAACAAGACTGGTTCCCGGTGTCAAGTATGGTGTACTATTTATGACACATACAAACATTTTTAAGATTTCAAACGTATTACAGTCGAGTAAATGCTTTTTATATTTAGCGAAGTATCATACATCATTCTTACACGTAGTGGTATTTTGGATTAAACAAATACTGGACCAGTGTACAAACTGTGCAGGTAATCTGCTTGATTTAGTTTTCCTAATACGGTCAGTACCGTGGGCACGAGTTGGGAATAAAGTTGAATCTCGCTCGCGGGCGACGCGTTGCGCAGGCCCGCACTCCTCCATGTTTCACAGTCAATCACACTGACGCTTCATATTAAGTCCGACACCTCGTTGGTCTGACGTCGGATTTTTGAGGTGTCGGACCTTCGAGGCGTCGTAGCTACGAGGCTGAAAAAAAATTGCTCATAATCCGACGCCTCATTCATCCGACACCTCTTAAGTCCGAAAATTCGGACTTTTGAGGCGTCGGACTTACGATACGCACCCCATGCAATTTACAGAACAAAGGCTCTGTCACTATCTTGTACATGCACGTGTCTTGTTTGCTCTGTACAAGACACGTAGATATATCTTGTCACAGGCTGTTACTTCAATGCAATTTCGTCGCTGTTTCGACAAATTCTCGGTTCTTGTTCCAGCGGGGGAAAGTGAGGATTTGAGTCAACAATGGGGAGGGGGAGCATACAGGCCGATTTTAAATAGACACCTTGCACAGGCCTCTAAAAATTCTTGCCATTTTGCCAGAAGCGATACTACTTCATTTTAATGTCGTTACCACCTCGACTCGTCATTTCTACAGCTGCCCCATGATGAAGAGTGTACGTGCTGAGGGAAGGCCAAATGTGAAGTAGCATATACAGGCCAATGGTGACATAATAATTATCCTGAATTAGTTTTGCTGAGTTGAACCCTACAACAGGTCCATGACACTGTATGCGAATCACAATGACAGCAGCATGTCCATTCCCGATATTTCATCAACACGGGATAATTTGGATAAAAACATCTTTGAGCAAGTTTTTGATAAACGCCTAAAACCACTCGCGAAAATACAAAAGATCCAAATAAGCCACATTGCATGTCCCATGAACATCACATGGCCCGAGACCCTACAAAAGCCCCGTTGCATTCAGTAACGGCGACCCAGGAAAAAAAACATAAAAACAGAGTACATTCTAGAGGCAAACCAACTAAATGTCCTGGGGAAACCCTGAAGAGGGCACCTGGTAAAACGGTGAGGTGAAATCCAACAGGCCCAATTGGCACAACTGCTGCTTGGTATGTATGCCCGTTTATACCTGCACGGTACACAGGAAATCACTACACTGCTTCTGCAGCGGAAGGAAATTGAAATGGGGGGGGGGGAATCTAGACAATTAGTAAATTGTACAGCATTACACGGATGGACGTGGGCACAGATCAAAAGCCATCCAAACAGCCTGTTCAAGTGACTGCCCAATAATAACTAGGACTTCGCATGTCCCGTTTTGATGAAGTGGACCAAATTGTGTGAGGAGTTCCACGTTTTGTCGTTGTTGAACTCCTCAGATGCAGTAAAGCAAGCATGTGCATTACTATTCTGCTTTTTCTTGTTTACCATGCACTTCCAACCATCAGCGGGCACAAACCATGCCCATCGGGCGGATATTACAAGTCAGTTACCACATCGGGTATTTTTGTTGACAGGGAGGGTGTGACGTCACAGACTGTCGACTTCCCCTCCATTGTCAACATAAAGTCCTCCCTACAGGCGCTGCCGCGCATAAACACGATCCATAGTGCGGCCACAACTTGGGTGGGTTCACTTCGGATGGTGGGGGTGTTCACCGGAAATTTATGCTGTTTCCTTGGTGATCTCCAAGAGCTGGATGGTGTGGCTACTGGGCAGGTTGGAACCAGCAATATCGGGACCCTCGGCCCCAAATGTCCCCAAGGGAATGTGGAGGCAATGCAGACCCCACTTCAGTAAGAGATGCTCGATACTTCGATCCGAACTGAAAGACAGGATGCATACGGCACGTGGGAGCATGTAAACCAAACCTAAGTAAATCTAGTTTTGCTTGATCAGATAGAAAATTGACCTGAACTGTATTTTTCCCTGGTCCATATCCTCCTCTTGGGCGATCTCCTGTGAGTAATTAAACTACAACCTGAAGCAGTTTCTCTAACAGCTATTCAATCGAACTGATCCCAACTTGAAAGTACGACCACGGTCTCACCCGCAAGGTGCTGAGAGTGAGAAAGAGGACAAAAGGCTGAAACATTTACTCTCTCTTTCAGAGTTTAACCAGGCAATGTGTAATTCGCGTCTTTTCCCCCACACTTCCAATAGCATCCTTCAAAATTTAATGTAGAGTTAACTGAACCCAAAATGTTGAAATGTGATACTTTTGAATGAATTCATTTTGTGGATGTAGTGAAACGTGGTAAAAGGTAATCACTCATTATCACTGGGTCTAATGTAAAAAGTGTGGGGTAACTTCACAGCTGTTCTACACAACCACCAGCATAGACTAAATATTTCAAACTTCTCGGTTAACCATGTACTTTACAGGTTCATGTAATTTTGTTAAGGACAGGAGGAAATAAGGCTACTTTCTCCCCTTCATCAGTCACTTCTGGCAAGTGAATTACGAGAATCCTTAAAACTCTTTCCCTTCTTCTGCATCCGGACGTCCAGGTCAAATGAATAAACCATCATTTTAAGAATTAACTACCATGGATAACATCCCAGTGGGAAAAGATTCTGAGCTACATACAGCTTGTCCAACTGACGTCAGTTCTAACGAGAGAATGGGGGGAGGGGGTGAGGTGAGCACGGGGCAGGGCCTAGGTGACTACAGCTCATTCAGAGCTCAGTATATAGTTTGGTTTCTATATCTTCATCGATAATCGTTACTAACAGTCTGTTACAACATGGTCCCAACACTTGCAAAAATGTCTGCCAATTTACTTCCTGGCATACCAATACAATCCATGATCTGGTCCAAATTGACATCTGGTTCCATAAAGTGCGAAAGACGTGTTGTAAAACACCGACGGGCATAAATGAAACCAATTGTCTTACCTTCTCTCTTGATAGGTTGTCCAACACTTTGCATCACTGTTTCTGTCTAAGAAGAAATGTAATGTTGCCATGATGTTCTCAAAATCTGATAGAAAAAAGAAACATATCTTCTCTGCAATAACTTTTTAAGTTATGCCGTCTATAAAGACCAGCAAAAATACCTTGTATTTTTGAAATTGTTTTTACTGCTGCTATTTCAAGGGGTAAGGGCTACTTCCTTGATGTAACAGAGCACAGCTGGGTAGAGATAGAAGGATACAACCCCCAACAAGACTGGGTAAAAACCAAATGCTCCATTACAAAACACCCTTTTGTCAAACTTATGCCTCAACTTTTCTATCATATGCGCCCGGAATATGTCAGCGTTGAAGGAGCCATGGCGTACATGTACATCCATGCTGGCGAAAATGGAGTATGAGGAAGGACCACAATTCTCTATTTGCACGGTTTTGGAAGTTCAAAGAGTGGAGGGGGTGTTGCAGAACAACAATATTACACTGGGGGCGCTTTCCGTGACGCAGATGTACCCGGTATGTGTATGTCTTATAATTTATGATCGTGTGCTAGCATGTGGGGTAAATTACATGAAATGGTGCATTTAAACTTCCTGTATTGTTTGTCTTCCGTTTTTCAGTGCTATTCAGAAAAGTTTGCCAATACGCTCAAATCCATTTTGGCTTTACCAACCACAGAAAAAGGGGGGAGCGGGGGGGGGACCGGGGACATGTCTCGGTAAACAAAAATAAAGCCAAAGAGTCCATCGTGCACCGTGTACGGGCTCCATGCACGTATGTAAAATATGTGTGTGTGGCTGGAAGTACAGTGTAGCTGAACACCGACTGTCAATAAAGAATGTTTGAATACTGTGACTGAATTGATTTTTGAGTAACTCTGCAGAAGTCTTTGATTTCTGTCTCTTCCGTTTTCCTTCCAAGATTATTTCAACTCTAAACACTGGAATTACATGCACGTCCGGCGCCCAGCCTATTTTTATCAATTCCGTTTTCAACAGCAGTACTCTGAGGATTAGACCATTACCCTCCGAACCACCCCCTTCCTATCTCGAAGGCAATAAATGGCAAAAGAAAAAATCTGCCTGATTACGTCAATGGAAATCCAATTCAATCGACCTGAGCTCTCCCAGAGGGTTCCCGTAGTCTGAACACAATCTCCCGCATAATGATTACCACTCAAAACATTACAGGTTGAGTCAACTGGAATAACTGAATATTCAAAAATTCCCACAAAATACAACACAATGTGTAAATGTTTTTACGAAAGCAAAAAAAAAGGGAATAACTTGAAGCTAGGAAAAGTTATTTTTGGCCTTATTGTTGGATTACATTCAGCTGGATTGGTCATAACAATGTGACATATGCTTTTACAATGCTCATTTGTAACCAACTGATTGCATTTGTCACTCTTTTATTTAATTGATTTTACGTCTGAATGTTCAATTTCAAAAATAAGTATTTGATTATTTAAGAAAAATCAGCACAGCACTAACAAACATTTGACACAGAACGCGAACTTCAGGATGTATACTGTAGTGAAAGCTAAGATCTCTACTCACAAATGAAAGGCACTCAGATTTCTCTGATATATTGGTTTCTCATTAAAAACAATCAGTTTTGCTCTTCAAATGAGTCTCGTTTTTCAGCAAAGACCTGGGATATTCTATTGCCTCAAGAGATGCACTTCTAAATGAAAAAAAAAATCAATTCAATTATCCCCGCATCGTGTATGCATACTTTTTACGCATTCCACGAATTTGGTGTTATCTCAGCCCACACTCGAGAAGAGAGACAGACCGAGTCTTTGGATCAGAAATAAAATTGGCGTCAATGAATTATCTCACTCTGTCTCCTCCCCCCCAACTACAATGAAACAACCGATGCTTGTAAACAACATGCCAGCATCAGCTAATAAACGTCTACAATTGGAACCCCCAACCTTATCGCATTATCCGCCAAATCATAGACGGGTTTCAAGGCAGAGGGAAAGCAATAAGGCTGCACTCAATCGGGCGCCCTCACCACCATTTCAATTTGTTCGCTGCACTATATTTCTTTTTTTTTCTTTTTTTTTTTAACAGTATGGGAGGTGAGACGATATCAGAAAGGTACACTGGCAGAGATATTCTGGGCGGTGAAATTTCCATCTCAGTTGGAGCGGTTCATGTTTGTATTTCCCTGCATTAAACCTGGACCCTGAGGAAATGTCACTGTTCTATTTTTTTTTCAATGCAAAAAATGGGAGAATGAACGATTAAATGTTATAGGGTTCATATTGTAATGCACAATATATGCACTGCCAGCCACGCTGCAGACTGTTTTTTTTTCAATGCAGAGAATTGAAACTGATTTCTGAAACTGTCATTTTATGATATGTGTATGTATTATTTCTGTAATTTGTTGTGTTGTGTTGTGTTTGGCGTGTTTATTTAATTACCCCAGTTTATTTTGCATATTGTGGAATAATTGTCTTTGCTGGGCACTTGGCAAAACAGTTGCACACTGCATGGTTTTCTCGGGTAAAAAAGAAATGAATATCCCTACTGTTTAGTTTATATCTGTACATAGACTTTGTGGGGAAGAACATTTTAGATTAGAAAAATCACATTGTTTATTGCTTTGTTTCATATGTCTTCCCTCGTCTTTGGCGCTGTGTTGTCCTATCAGTGGCCACTCAAGGTGACGGTTACTGGTAAAAAAAAAAGAAATGAAAAATCGAGGTGCATAAAACAAAAAGGTGTGTCCCTGTCAGTGAGAAAGGGGATTGTTCATTACACATTGCGCTTCAATTGGGGCATATTGTAACCATCTGGAAAAACAGGATGAAGAATTGCACAGCAGAGCGGCGCTTGCAGAGAAACTTGTAGAGTGCATCTTGGAATTGGCTTTGGGAATAGTTACTATATTCAGACGTGGCAGGTCGGAGGGATGAGTGGCGTGACTAACATTGCAGCGGGAAGAGTCTAGGGCTGGTGTTGTTGAAAATGTCCTATCACTGTCTTGCTTATACAGCAAGTATCAGCCAGTTTTATTTATCTGAATGAGAATTCCCATCTTCCAAAAGATTCCTTGCCCCGCCTCTTTATCCCCAATCATTCCCAGCCTAGACACCACCCAAAACTGGGGGGAAAAGACCAAAAACAAGGATTCTGCAGTCATTTCTGTACCTCATAACAAAACCTTTTCTCTCCGATCTGAATCAAGAACGTTCACCTTGAAATGCACAAAATAGTTTTGACATTTCGTGGCACATATAGCACTTTCCTGCCCCAAGCTCTTTAGTGCGACCAGCTCAACAGCAGCTCCACGGCGCATTAAGATAATTATAAGCAACAAGATGCACTTTTGCCAGCTCAGGATGAAGAACATCAACCTCGCAATATGCAAAAGTGTTTTTTTTTTTACGTACACGTCGACTTGTCTACGGTACTTTGGTTGCTATGAGAACAGCAGTCTCTCAGCTTGTCCAGGTTTGTTTGCAGCCAGCTCGCGGAAAAGAAAAACTTTTCAGCCAATCAAGAGACAGAATCAGTGTTTGAGAGGCTCCAGAAACGCCTCACTGAAGGGATCTCAAGTTTGATGACCCGACCAAATTTTCACCATGTCAATGACCACAGATCGGGTTACAGAGAGACAAAAACAAGGTAAGGTTTGATCACAACCGTACATTAATAAGTGAACATTCACCTTTCTGTTGTTACACAACTCATCAAAGTACTATATACAAGGGCGTGCAGTTACAAAAGCACCCGCACTGCATACGTGTATGTACATCCATTCAGAGTTTGTACAGTTTGGCAAGGCTAGTTCATTGATTCCACAGTAACAACTGCTGGACATATTCCATTAAATGTAAAGTGGATTGCTTTGAAATCTGGGCTCCCAACACACTACAACCTGGCTCATTTGTAGCAATTATAATGTTGCAGTGTCATTTGGAGATAATGTTGCAGTGTCATGTGGAGACTAACTCCATACATGTACATTCACCAGTCACGGCAGTGCAAGATGAAGATGAGCCATTTTCAAAAAGCAATTGACGCCAACTGTCGCACCAGTGCTCATAGAATATCAATGATGAAAACTAAAACTAAAAAGTTTGAAAAATAAGGCAAAAGCCCCACCACAAAGGCACAAACCCCAAAAGTAAAATCAAATCGAGGACATTTTTATTTGGGATTTATGAATGCATCTGTAAGAAAGTACAAAGCACCTCTTGATGGAGTGGTGATCAGATTTTGGGACACTGTACAAAAATCGGGGGAGGGGGAGGTTCCCATTTTGACAGTGAAATCAGTATTAGGTTGATCACCATGGACTGGAGGCTTCCAACTGGTGGCTTATTGTCAGTGACACTGACATACCTTGAGTAAGGAGAAGATCAATGCATCTGTAGGATTGGATTGCTCAGTCTCAAAAGGGCAAGTCAGACTTTCCAACGGTCAGGGATTTATAGTTTGCACATACGTGTGTGTTCCCGCCTGGATTCGTTCAAATATCAAACTTTATTGAGACACAAGGTAGGAGCCAGGAAAACATGTCAAATTTATTCCATTTAAGCTTGGTATGTCATTCATTTGGGGGGGGGGGCAACCCAAACAAGAACTGTTTGAAATGAAAAGGTAACATACGTATGCACCTGACTACATGAATGATACCAGCAACATTGCAGCTGCTTTGCAATAAGTATCAAAAGGCTGACAGGTTGGTTCCAGCTGACAAATTCTGAAAAGTAGCCAGAGCTTTAGCCACTTGCATATTTTTGAAGCCACTTGACTTGCTTGTGCAGTAGTAAAACGGCACCAAACACAGCACAGGCTGGGAGCCAGTAAAGTTACAGCCACATTAGCGGTGTTTCCCTGATGGTTCTTCACATTTTGCCATGCCTTGAAAACTCCACAACCTGTTCGTAATGTGTATCAGTATACAGGCCGTCGAGACCGAAGAGTGGTTTCTGTATTGAAATTTAAAAAAATCAGTGTCTATTTTCACGTCAAAGCCGATATTTTGTTTTCCGTGTTTTGACTGCAAAAGGGAATAACACCTTTGCAAGAACACACAGTGCTATATTGTAATGAAAATCGTTGGAAATTTGTAACTTTTGAACTTGTTTTGACTTTATGACTCAAGAGGTATTTTATGAATGGTAATAAGTGCTTGACTGGTCTTAAGCATTTGTTAAGACCACCACATTGGCACAATCATGGCCATTCCAGTCTTAAACGAAATGGGCAAGCCAAGCATATATTTGTTTCCTTATAGAGGCTTTGCGTAGTAGCCATCTTTCAGGGCAGTTCTTTTGTTTCACAGGGAAATGTCCTTTGTGCACGGCCCGTGGAACAAAAGCACTGGCCTGCAATATGGCATCCTTGCAAACTGTCACACCATGGGGGTCCATTTTCCCCATAGTGGACCAACAGTGAAAAGTCTTCTAAACAGTACAGCAGTAGGCAGCCAAGTTTGGGTCTAAACGAACCAAAAAAAAAGCGGAGAAATATGGAAGGGCTACGTAGCACCGTGATCAGAATATCGACAAGAATACAATATCAAATCACATATTTCAGAGCAAAAAAAAGGAAGACATCCAATAGTTCACCTCTCCTGTAATTTCCATTTTAAAAAATTATTTACTAGATTCAAATACTTATTATTTTGCAGATTTCAACCACCAATTTCCTCAAATAATGGCAGTATCCCTATGTGCATAAAACTTTAAATCAAAGTCCTTGTTGTACACCCCACGACCATTTTCACGAGAAATAAAAAAGGGGAAAAAATATTTATAACCCGTACAGTCAATATTTAGGTCCCTTGGGAAACCACATTTCCATCAGTCAAAGGGTGACAGTGATGGCCACGCCCTGAGAACTCGCATGTCCTTGACAGGTGTCCAGGTCGCTGCCAGTTCCCTGGGTCGGTGAAATCTCTAACTTAGGAGCCTGAAGCAGGGGTCAATCTTTAGGCTGTCTGAGGGGCATACGTTCACGCAAATTCTAGGATGGGCGATAGAACCCTCTTGAAAGGCCCGAGTCACCTCAAATCTGATGGAATGATTGGTTCACCCAGAACCGTCCTGTAGTTGTGGCTCGTTCATGCACAACAAATGGTTCACTCAGAACCGACAAGAATTTATATTCCCCTCAGGGAAAAAGCGCTTTAAAGCAATGTCCAAGTAATTCAGAATGTAACCCCTTTTGTGATAACAGTAACCTAGTTTGGCTGTTCCCAATAGTTTCATATATCTCAGGGTTAATTTACTTTTATGATCAAATTCTTGCCAAAATCCAACTTTTCTTTTTGAAATGTATCTCAAAATTGAGCTTTTCCATAGTTTTCTTATACAAAATAAACTTTTATTAAAATAATAAATGAAATTAACAGTTTTCCAAACTGGCTTTCCTTTAGGGCCACGCCCTAGGTACAATACACTCAGTATTTTGTACCTCACCACACAGGTGGACTACCCATCTTTACACCACTCAGGCTGCAATGGTAGTGCCTATCAGCATACACACATGGGTGTGCCTTGAATCAAAGTCACTGAAGCATAATTAATGTACATAACATTGTATTGTACTATTCTCCACCGCGATTTGAATTGGAATGGTCCACTACATTCAACAGTGGGGTTTGACAGAAAAAGAAAAAACTAAATCTCTAATAATGGTTCTTTTTACCTCAACAATGTCTATGTTAAAAAAATTTCCATAAACATGATTTATAAATCACTCATCTGGTGACACAAACCCTCTATTACAAACACATTTTGGGTGTGGAAACACTTGTGGAAATTCACAACCATAAAGGAAACACTGCTGCTGAGCCTGGCGCCCTTAAGGTGGTTTGTTACCAAAGTATGTAAATATTTGCTATTCAGCTATGATGGTGACATACATCTGGAGACTTGTGAGCAGTGCTGGAATTTAGTCCATCACAAGTCCTTTCACAAGGCCAGTCACATATACTTTCACAAGGCTAGTCACAAGTGCCTTCACAAGGCCAGTCACAAGTCCCTTCACTGGGCCAGTCACGAGTCCCTTCATAAGGCCAGTCATAAGTCCCTTCAAAAGGCGAGTCAAAAGTCCCTTCACAATGCCAGTCACAAGTCCCTTCACAAGGCCAGTCACAAGTCCCTTCACAATGCCAGTCACACGTCCCTTCACAATGCCAGTCACAAGTCCCTTCACAAGGCCAGTCATAAGTAACAGGGTAAACAATGAGAAAAGAATTATCACAGTTCATGTGAATGGCTTGTGCACTGGGTTAAGACTGAATGACTTGTGATGGACTTGTGATGGACTTACAGGGACTTGTGATGGACTCAAATACAACACTACCTGCGAGAGGTTCTCCCACTTGTTTCACTTTCACTTCAAAATCAAGTCTATCACAGACAAACCTACCTCTTGAATCATAGAAGCAGTCAGATGCCAGAATGACGTCAAATTGCGGTAGTTGGAAAATGGTGGGGGAAAACTCGCCCCATGTGAGTCCCAGAAGATCCACCTTGCCCTCCAGCCCATTGGCCCGGCAGGACTTGAGACAGTTGTCAAGGCAACGAGGAAGGCCTGAATGATCAGTCAGCGTGACCATAGCACCGCAAGATGCTGCCACGATGCCAGGGAGGCTTGTGCCTGCTCCTAGCTGCTCGATTCCGGGACACCCAGGGGTTGACAGATAAGGAAAAAAAAAAAAAACTCGTTGAAAAAGGAATTTGGAAACAAAGATCAGGAAATTCTAAAAACTATGGAAATACAAGATTGATTTCTCATTATCCAACTGAGAATTCAGAAAAGGCAAGGAAATAATAAACGGCACAAGACTCAAGTGTTCTTTTTGGATTTATAATGGCATGCATGAGAAGAACAAAAATGAGGACCCCAGCTATTCCAGAAAAAGCTTTCTGCGTTTCATCACCGTGGTCTCCTCTGATCATTCCATAAATTAGAGATTGAAGAAAGAGACTGGTCTTTAGACCCATCCAGGAGAGCTTCTAGGTCAGGAAATCTGTACTCATTGTGTGTGGGAGTGGAATGCACAGCCTTAACAACATTCAAGAATCTTGCCCAAAGTCTTCATCTTTGTCACTAATAGGGGTGAAGGAAGTGAGGCGGGGGGAGGGGAATTGCTCGGGAAGGACCAACACGATCAACATCACCAGATTTCCATAACTATCACCACCGCGACCCTTGCCCTCTAAACAGACAGTCATCCTCATTCCTCAACAATTTGTCCACACACTGCATGTACATAAATGTACATGTATCTCCAATACTAAACACATTTCCACTGATTCAATATCTGCACATCAACATCATCAGCATTTAATGCAAGATCCCACACCTGCCACCACGGTGACCTTTGCCCTTCAAACTAACAAGCATGCTAAACACAGACCCACATGTTACATACCTCCAATACACGTTTTCCGCAAATCCACTTCCTGCGCATCCATACGTACTTGGCTAAAACTGGTGCACATGGCCACACATACATCCCGTATGCTGGATCAATCAGCTAAAGTACATGTATAATAAATCAAAATCGTAATGGATAAAAAAAAAACAGGTTTGAAATTAAATGTCACTGAGGATTGAGACTATTTTTGGACAAATACATAAATGTGTATATGTGATAAAAAGTAACTGTGTATTCTTCAACTTAGGATCAATAAAAGGTAGAATTTCAAAAACAAGTTGAGGTCACCTATAAAACAAAAAATTAACATCAAATTAAGGATACTTCTTATATTGGGATAGTGGAAAATAGGTACCGTACCAAAGGTGATAAATTGCTTGTGCTTTTCAAGAAAAGATTATAAAACTTAAAGTTTGCCAAAATGTTCGACAAAAGTCTATTTAAGTTATGCATGCACACAAGCAAAATAAGAAAACACACCTCAGGAATCCTGATTGACATTTCATCACCCTTTCCCTCATCTTGAAATATGAAAAGTCGGACCCTCTCCAAAGATCCCACCTGCTGCTCATGACTCATGGGTGAAACCAAGCTACAGACATCTGCACACTGAAATCAACAAAATAAGAGACTTCAATGTCAGCTTTACTCACACAAAGAAAATTTCACCTCTGCTGTGCGATACATGTAGCGTAACTTTGAATTTTGTGAGGTAATACAGCCTAAAATCTTTCAGCTGAATGTTATATGCTAGAAAAGATGTTAACTTGTTCTGTTAAAAACAACTGTGCACGTACATGTAAATTCAAACTTGCACAGCACTCAACCCTAAAAGGAAGTGTGTGGTGTTATATCATTACATGTATGAACAGATGAAAGTCTTACGTTTCTCATGACGATTATACCGGTTCTAGTGCGCGTCTGCTACGACATTAAGAGCAATGTTCTCAGTTTCGTTTCCGATACAGAAGGGTCACCAAAATATTTCCAAGAAGACTAATTTAATATTTTCATGGGGTGAGGTTGTTCAGGATAAAAACACCCGTTTGTTGAAGTCAAGGAGTCGACGTTCTTGACTAACACCATTTCCCACAATACTCTGCATGTCTCTCACCACTGCTGCCTTCGCTTTCCATATCATTTCTGGAAGAAAATACCCTTTTTATTCAGCCGCTGACAAATTTGGAGATGACAAAATTGTCTCTACCTCCTTCTTTTTTGCGAGACACTTCACTAGGGACGAACCAACTTCAATAGTCTGGCATCGCACTGGCGTTATGGGAAGCTGCCAAAACTGAGGCAGAAGCTTGTTTCCGGACTTGAAAAGAGTTCCATGCCAAGACATCAATTGACACCCTGTGCACAAACCCTGTGACCAGGAGAGTGGTCTGAAAAATTCCCATCTTTTTTCAACTCAATTTGACTTTTTAGGATATGGGAAAGAGTTCCAAATATGGACCCCAGTAATAATCCCCTACAGTGACCAACATGTATTAGCCGTCAGAAAGCAAAAACATGTTTGCAAACGTTCAACTGAGGAGGGAAAAACCAAGTTGTTTACTTAGAAAATGCTTAAAATTTTTCAGACCAGTCTTATAGGGTTTGAGCGCAGGGTGTCAAGCAGCGTCCGTATATGGAACTCTTTCCAGGACATATTATCATGGTTAATACTTTCTGATATGTCTGTCGACATATTACTGAAGAGAAACATTTGAGATGTCAGTGATGGAATTCATCCCCGTTTTTATTTTGAATAATAAGAGACCTCTCTTTCCAGAAAATTCTGAACGGCAAAATCGTGGTCATTAATTTATTCAGCAGGCCAAGAAAAGTACACAATTTCAGTGGACTGTGAAACTTTCTGCACCCCAGCCAAGGATGTAAAACTGTTCAGCGTAAGGATGTCAAGGAAAGAGTTCCATATAAACGGACATTAATTTTCCCTTGAAATGTTATAACAGAAAGTATGTCAGAAAGTGACAACATCCTAGAAAGTGAAATTTAGCTACATTGTAAGAAAATTCTGAAGCATTTACTTAGAAAACACTTAGTTTTTTTTTCAGACAAGTCCCATAGGTTTGTGTACCCGACATCAAATGTTGTCCATATGGAACTCTTTCTTAATCATAATTTGTACTGTTTTGCTTTAGAGAGAATGTAAAGTTAAGGTAAAGCTATGAAATGGCCAGTAATATTTGCATGCTATGCAAATCGTTGTGCAAGTTTAACCAAAGTTCTATTTCTACCTTAAAACTTGCGCAGGTAGGCCTCTGACTAGGAGGACTATGAAGATTAAGCACAAAAAAATAGTTGGCAATCGTCCCTGCCCACCCTTAAGAAATACACCAGCCCCTAATTTTTTTCTTATTTTATATTTATTGAAAATAAACAGAAAAATGCCCTTTCAGACGATCCCACATTTAAATTTAGCAGCCTTCTGTTATGCACTTTGGAAACAATACGGAAATCGCCGATTACTCCTGAACATCAACACGTACAAGTACGAGTGCAGATTCATCCAACGTCGACTCCATGGTGTGGCAAGATCAAGCCCATGGGAACGAGGTTGAGATTCACCAAACTGTTCGTGCATTTGTGTAAACCGCATCTGAATTAGCCAAATTGGCTGCAGTTGCGGCCGCGTGCATAAACCTGTGGAAATAGATCAGCCAGCGAGGCCGCAACCACAATAGCTTTGTACACGCAGTCGCAGCCACAGTGTGAAGGGTGAGTGCTAGAATTTTCGACCAGGAGGTAAATTCGACCAACTGCATTCAAAAACTACACATCTGGTCGAATTTCTTGCTTTTCTTAAGTGAGCGAATACCCCCACCTTTACCCTATTTGGGATGTGGCCTTGATCTCTGCTGCATGCTGGATCAGTACTCAATAACGGCAGCCATTCCTAGACACTGATTCCACTTCACAGAGCTACAGCACCGTGACCCTCTCTGAGAAAACCCTCCTATCACGCCTATTTCCGCCTTGTTGTGGTAAAACCCCATCCTTTTGTGATGAATGATTTGCCTCTGTAAAACCCTTCTGTCAGTGTCATGTCTGTTAATAAGCTAAATAAAACTCGTTTCATTGAGGAAACTGCTATGTAATATTTTCCAATCCTGCAAAGATATACACTACGTTGAATTGAAACAAAAAAACCTACCCTCCCACCCCAAGATTATTTTTTACAAAAGGATGCTCACCAATTATTTTTTAAGTGGCCTTACACTCGACACCACCAGCAGACCAGTGCAGTGCAAGTGAAAGCAAAGTGAAGAAGAATCCAATTTGCACAAAACGACCATTCAAATCCCAATACTTACTTGCTCTGGTTAAGGTAAAAACGAAATTTCCCTTACTATCGAAAAAAGTAGTTTTTCCCTAAGAATTCAGTCCAGACCCAAGTTTTGTTGGTCGAAATTGTCAACACACACACCCCATTGGGCGCCCCAGCATTTGATTTGATTTCTGCGCTCACGCTGCGCGGCGCCGGCGCGGGCTTTCGCGTCTACTTGTCTAGTACCTTGCTGATGTAAAATCGATACTAATGTGAAAATTCACATACCAACGGTACCAGTCTAGACTGATGTACAATTGTAGAGGGTACCAGTCTAGACTGATGTACAATTGTAGAGGGCGCAGTACACTTGCCACAAGCAGAGCTAGCTAAAGCCAGAGGGAAGATATTCAGCATGTTCAGTGGTTTAACAAAACCGCTGTTTTCATTTCCTTCTCGGCGTATATACGTTTATTTACAGATTTATCCAGGGTATCATGACACTGCTGCTGTAGTTACTATAAGGTGCATAGTATCTATCAGTATCTTTTATTCAAAGGCGCGAATATGGTACACATTTTATGACCTAAACTACTTGATTGAAGAAGTTTATTATTCCGCATTATCATGGGCGGAAATCTCTCCTTGATCGTGGGGGGGGGGACATCCATTTACACTTTTTGTGCACATCGTGTTTATTATCTTATTGCATTTATAATACCTCAAAAGGAAAAATCCCCATCCATCAATTCCTTTAGTATTTTGTTTTGCTTAAAATATGGAGGGGACATTCGACATTTTGTCCCCCCCGTAGCAAATTCAGGGAGGGGGGACGTGTCCCCCTGTGCCCCCCCCCGGATTTCCGCCCATGCGCATTATTAATTCAAGTTAATCAGTCAGTAGGCCTATGGGAGATTGCTCAGCGACAACTAATGAAATAAAGCGAAATTGAAGTTCAACTGAAGTAACTAAGACTAACCGGCGACCAAGCTAAGCTGCCACAAACTAGACACAAAGCAAGCAAATATTTTCCTGATATCTATAAACACATTGACCATAACGTTACTTTCCTGCACTCCATTGCCGGTTGCCAGGTGTGGCAAGGGTGCTTTCCGTTGCCACAATAAGGCTTGCAGCTCGCAGATAGGACTAAGTAAATACCGGCCCACAATGCGCGGGGAAACTCAATGACCATGATGATGGCCTCAAATTAAATTCTGTACGAGAGCATTTTGTAGTGGTTGAACTGGATATGAGGTGGATTTTTAAACATATAGGGAAGACGGGGCGGCCTCATCAATACGGCCGTTTCCAAATAGTGCGCCACCAAGAGTTTGCAACGCGTTGGCCAATCATGATGCCCGAGATTTGTCGACCCAATGCACGTTACGTTTGGAAAGGGTCGACAACTTCGCGCGTTATGATTGGTTGCAGTCTCTTGGTGGCGCACTATTGTGAATCGCCCGTATTAATGATGTAGTGTGGGCTACTTGTTGTATCATGTTTCAAAATGGCGATGAGCTTTTAAGGTTGATCATCTTAGGATAGACATCACACACAAACGTCATGGGTTAAACTACTAAAAAAAATGGAACGAAAATGAAAGAGTCGGTCATGGGCTTTAAAACGGTGTCTACACCTGAGGAATTTGAAAATAGTTGAAGCGGGTAGGCCTATTTATCATCATGCATCTGCCATGCTCGTGGCTGGAAGCCACTTTAAGAGTGTTCTGACTAAATCATGCTCACCATGCTCCTTCTTGGTCACGTAATAATTTGCAGGACAACCTAGCCTAGGACAAAATAACCCAAATTCTACAGGCGCATTTAATCGCCAGCAAAGTTTAACTTTATGAAGCGGAACCTTTGCGCACACACATAAACCTCTTACCCGACGTTGATGTTATATTAAGATTTTGTCTTTTTTATGTCTATACTGTATGCAATTTTTTTTAACCCTTGTAAATTTGACCTGCGAAATAATAAACGAAATGAAATGAAATAATTATGCGCATGGTGCCAAGTTTGCACTTGACAGCGCCCTCGTTCTAATCAACACGTCTCCGTTTAGTCTGGTTCCCGGTCCTGGTACCTGTTGTCGGGTCTGTAGCATGCATGTTAGGTTTGGATTGTTGTTCCCCATGATCGATTGCGTACGCGTAACCGTACGGACTGTTATGCTCCAATTGATCCCTATTTTAACGCGTTCGTGATGTTACTTTTTGCGATCTTGCCCGTCTTGCTGATTTGTGGTAAGTCTTCGAAGTTTTTCTTCCTTACAGCAAGTATAATACGATGCCTACTTGCCTTTTCAATCGCCCCAAATCTACTTCCTGAACAGCAAGGCACTACTCCGTTATCAGGTCATGTCCGAACGGGAGCCGGGCGGACGTCGGACCCCACACTCAGTTCTGAGGCTACTCTGTAGGATTTTGAGCATTCCACCTTCTTGATGGTTCCACACTCTATCTGGCTATGGCATTTTGAGTGTTGCCCAGCAATCGTACCAGATAAAACATCCGCTGGCGCTTGCTTAAGCAAATCTTCCCCTGACATGCCTGATAGGCCTACAGAACCATGATGACATATATCATATGGAACTACGGGGTACGGTTTGACTTCGAGTGTATTTTGTAGCGTTTAACCTAGGCCTACCCCCAAAACTGCGTGGTCTGATATCTGCCCCGCTTCAACCTGGGAGCGGGGCAGACGTTGTACCCCACAGTTCTGGGAGTAGCGTTTAACCTATATCCTTGGCCAAAAATGCATTTTTTCTACCATCCCTACCTCTCATCCCTCGACGATCCACAAACATCTGCATTCTCTGTGGCCATCCGTCATGTGACAAAAACAGGCGTAGCGTATTCACGTAACGAACATTTATGTTGATTTATATACCGGTCCCGATAATTCCAACTACTCTCGTTAAGATTATGTATAGAGACATCTGGAAAATCTGTGGTCAGGGAACCACACTAAGCACATATCGGCCCGATCATTTTGGAAGCGGGGGGGGGATGGCAGTGTCTAATAATGAATTAATGCAAATCACCTGCCAAACAAATAATAATAGTTTGAAATCAATGCCGGTGATATTTCCATGTCAAATAACAAAGGTCAGATGTAACAGGGACACCATAATGTCACACTTTTAGACCCCTAATTTCTGGAATTACCCACGAACTACATGTAAGTGCAAAGTCTTCACCTCCATGTATTTAAGTTCAAAGTGAAGAGCGGGTAGAGATGAGAAGTTACGGCAGTTTTTCCCCACCCAAGTAACTCTGTTAAACTTTTCCCACAGATGTGTCTGTGATATCTGCTCGTCAAGTGAAGATGCGGATGGTGAATGAACCAATAAATACCGGGTAAGAAAACAGAACGTTTACTCTTGTCCTAATCATACCCTCCAAAATGTCCAAGATGGGCTACTGTAGACTAAACCTACTTCGATACCTTTCTGAAGTAAAATACCCTTTGACCGTCCATTGTGTGTATGAGATATGTACAGTTTGCAATAGATGTAAAAAGTTCACGTGCTTTTGGAGTGAGCTGTCAGTATTCTGCAGAGTGCTTGGAGTGGTGTCTACCCAGTTCACCGGTGTCTACCCAGTTCACCGGTGTCTACCCAGT